CCTGTGGCTCTTCCCTGGCTCTCACCGGCCACTGAGGAAGGCCTGGCCCCAAGGCCACCCCCTGTCTCCTTGACTGGCCTTGGCTCTGCCCAGGCCCTTCCACCCTGCCTCTCTTCCCTCCCCGCCCCTGGCTACACACCAGCCCCGGACCTTTTGTCCTACCAGCACTGAGACTTAACTCAACCTCCTCTCCTCCCCCCTGGCCAAGGCCCAACTCTGCTCCTGGCAGGTGGGGGGAAGGCCCGAGGCTCTGTACTGAATCCAACTTGTAGGGAAGTGCATGCACATACTGCTCCCCTCCCCACAGCAGCACACATGCTTCCCCACAAGCCAGATCCAGCGCAGAGCCTCAGGGCTGTCGCCTCTTCCTTCCCACTCCCCTGGAAGCTGACACTGGCACTGTAATCTTGCAGGGGGTGGGGGAGGCATAAGCCTGGAGCGCCAGGCAGGCAGCAGCCCAAGCACCTGGCCCGAGGCAGGCACCAGTTAGCATTGGGGTCCTGGACCAGGAAGTAGAAGCAGGGCTGGAGGTAGCTGCCTGACACTAGCCCTGGCCCTCCTGTAGGAAAGGCAGGGGCCAGCGGGGAGCCCAGGTTGCCCTCCCCACAACGGGGGGACCCCGAGCCATGGCCACCATTTCCCCTTCTGACTTTGCAGAGGCTGTCATCTCACAGGAAAAAAAATTATATAGAGATTTATTTTAATCGGCTACTTCAATGCTGACAGTCATAACCTGGTCAAAATCTGTTAAACTATTTTTATTTTCCATTTGTGCTTTTGAAGATGCTAGGTGTTAGTGAATAGCACAGATATCAAGGTGTTGTCATTATTTATGAACCGCAAAACAGTCCCCTCATTAAGTACTCATCTGACTAGGTTTTCTGACTGTTTACTCTTCCCATTTGTCAGAAAACTGTCAACCAAAAACATTGCTTCAGTCTTCACTGAAAGATTATATTAAATACATTATCATATATCTTAGTGGTATATAGACACACAAAATAATTAAAGGCTGTATTCAAGTTGATATTTGTTGCATATTTCTTTTGTCTGAGATGCTGTGAGCCCTTGAGAAGATTTTTAATTAGTCTTAAGAAGAGCTGTAGTCTTCTATGAAAAACCCCTTCCTTTTAAGTTTGTTTTTTTGGAGATGGGATAAAGACAGTTAGGAGCATATCAGTATTTTCAATATAGCTCAGAGAGGAGTGAGAGAAGGTTCCTGGAGCATACCAGATGGAGCTGCAATTAAAAGCAAGTGCTTGTAGCTGTGCAACTGCCCTCTTTTTACTGCTAAATCCAATTGGCTTGTTTTTGACTGTGACTGACTTACCTTTTCTGCTGCAACACTTCATCAAGCGTTTCTTGCTTGTCTTGCAGCAACTGCTGGAGGTGCTTCATTTCACGCTGGTACCGAGCAGCCTTCCCAGAAAATTCCTTCTCTTGTTCAGTCATTTTGAGATTGATGTCTCCAAGCCTGCCAGCAGCTTTTTTTTTGTATACCTATGAAAGTTGAAGATTGTGGGGTGAAATGCGGTTATGCCACTTTCAAGGATAATCAGTACTAACAATATCACCAGCTAAATATGTTCTTTTCTTGCTGCAGATTAGTTGTTATATCCCTGATGCCTTGCTTAAATAAATCAGGTAAGTTGCACAGATTTATTAATTGATAGGTATCATACATATACTTTCACATTGCATAGATGAAAGGTGTACAGTCTGAATATTACATATTATGTCTTTGGATTTATCTTGAGTGAAAATGAGCAAGAAAATAAAATGGGTTTACTTTTTTGAGTATAAAGCTGCTCTTCAACACACATGTTGTTTACCCACTAGTTCAATAGTCAAATCTAATTGTCTAAAACACAAACAGAAGTAAATACTGGGGTGGTATGTTTTTAATCTAACTACTAAGAGAAAAATTAGACTGATTTCCTTATTAAATTAAGTGTATAATCAAAAGGTCTTGTTTTCATAATATGCAAAAAAAAAATATTGGAATTACTGAACACTTCCTCCTGAAAAGGTTATAGCTCACAGAGTAAAATTTTTATCAGAAAATATGCTTTGTATATTTGTCATGGTAAAATGTTTTGCCTCTTCAACCCATGCTTAGAGGCTTGCTTACACAGGCTCTGTAGACATACCCAGAGCATGTACTTGTAGGCATTCTCCTTGTCTCTACTCTCTGTATGCTGAATTCATTTAGCAGCAGCTTCTGGTAGGGTACACATCCCCACACCCCAAACAGTGTGTCTTTAAAAGCCATAAAATAGCTCATAATCTGGTAAAAAATGGAACAGATTTGGCAAAAGTCATTGCCGTTTTTAATCCTTCTTATTTACATTAATGTAGTTAAATAATGTTCTGCATTTCAGGACTCTTGCAGCTGGAAAGGAATAAAAAAATCTGGGTGATCGATCCATATCAAATGTTTGCCCCTCATATATTTTTTACTGTTCTGACATGTCTTTGGTTCTTAATGCCCTACAGAGTCAGCACTTTTCTTAGAGCTACATTGGTAGCTCCTGATCTTTGCAGAGGACCAAGCCTTTTTCTACAAGACACGCTCTCCGCCTTGACAGAGCCTGGGACAGTAACTGGAAAGTTCTGGATTGGAATACAGAGTTTCTACAAATTTATGCTGAGGACAGGCTACAGATAGACATCCTTTCTGTCCTCCATACTGGCTTCCTAACCTCACCTAAAAGTTTGAGAACCACTTGTCAACCCAGTCTGTCCACAATCCACACCTGAATCCTATATCATTTACTGGGAGCAGCTATTCTCTTTTCACAAACGAAAATCCTTGCCCTTCCTAGATGGTGAAGGAAAGTCAAGGGCAAATATGATTTCTTCTGTCCATCTCCTTAAAGCATGCCATAATCTTATGAATTCTGAAGAAAGCTTTACTAGATGCAATGGAATTTAACATCTACCACCTGCTCTCAAATCTCCCTTGGACTTCTAGGTAGCATTGCATGTGACTGATCATACACTGCTGCTCTTCTACCTAAGAGATGTGTCAGGGGAAACATAAAACAGCAGTTTGAATCCTTCCTCAAAGGCTACACACAGGATAGTACTCCTCCGCCATTAGGCATCTCATCTATAGGATACTTCAAGATTGAATTCTCTCTTCTGTCCTGCTCTGCATCTACATCTAATCATTGGAGGAGGAGAAAATTTTAAACCAATAATGCAATGGTCATTTTCCCTCTCATCTGAGTCTTTAATTTGCATTCAAGTCATGTTTTCAAGATTTCTGAAATTAGGAAGTGGTGGTCTGCACAAATGGCTAACAACTGATTTCCATTTCATAGAAACTGAGCACCATTACAAGTACAGGACAGATATTAAAATGTGTAATAAGTCACTGTAGGGACACTTTTTGCCCTTGTTATCTTACTGCTTCATGTTAAAATCAGAGATCAAATTCTACATAAATGTTAAACATCTATATCGGAGTGGGAAACCTAAGGCTCATGACCCAGATGTGGCCCCCCCAGCTTGCCTGGATCTGGCCCAAGGTAGTTCAGGGCTCACTCCCTCCTCTCCCCCCCGAGCATTGGGGAGCCCACACTGGCACTCCTACCCTACCGCCACCCCACTGTGGGGCTGGAGCACAGAAAATCAACTAGCTTGGGCCCCCCTAGACTCTGGTGTGCGAGGGGAATGTCTTTCTGTACCTCAGCCAGGGGGGGCCACTTCAGGGAGGGTTTTGTTTTGTTTTGCTTTTCACTTGTGCATAGTCTCTGACTGATTTTTCTGAGAGTCAGCAGCTCACAACCCAAGAAAGTTTCCCACCCCTGGCCTATGTTCATTTTTCTAGGGATTCCTTACCCTTAATCATCAGACTTCTAAACTATCAGAAAGTTTCTAGTCTTTCATGTTATCAAGTTTAGATGACAAAAGAACAAAACATTTTAACCAACAGAAAATCTTTGCTAATATTAAACACAAAATATTTATGCAGGTGCTTAACATTACTTATGTAAGCAGTTTTATAGCAGTCAATAGGACTACTCACATGAGTAAAGTTAAGCAAGTGCAAAAATCTAATAAAGTTGTGGTCTAG